TCGAAGAATTGATCAAGAGATCCGGTACTTGCCTCCCTCATCAAAAATGCGAATACTGTTGATAATTCGGTATTAGATGTGAGGAGCTGTTGCTGCACCTCCTCGGATATCTTACTTTTCATGAGCAACTTGGGGATCAACCCGCCGGCGGTGATTTTCATCCCTTCATCATCTCACCGAACATTCTCCATTAGGTCATTCATTAGATCTTTATGTTGAACTGGATCCCAGTCCTTTGAGCTCAGCAGGTCGATCGCATCTGCTATAGCGCTCGACTTAGGTTTGATGTTCGCATTCGCTATAGGGATCGACTGAGGTTTGATGTTCACATCTTTGGATAGCAATGGGGTAGATAAAGGCAATGGAGCCTTCTTTCCAAAGAAAGAAAACATCCTTACTTTCCCATCGGTTTCATCATTGTCAGTGTTGTCTTGCTTACTATCATCGTAGCTCTCCGACTCTACATCAGCAGCGGTCGAGCTACTATTTGCCGAAGGCAGTGAATTAGGCAAATGACGCACGAACACAATTGGATCTTCATGCTGGATTATACTCGAATTAGATGTGGCGGATACACTGACATCAAGCAGTAATAAAGTCGAAAGGACCGGCATGAGCATCGTCAAGAATATTGAGAAATGATACGCCAAGATCCAAGCGACAAAAAACTGCGTCAGGCAGACGTAGCCGTATGATTTGTCCATCACAAAATCTGGTCTATCCGGCTCTCGGAACATCCAACAATGGCTGAAAAATATTTGAGAAACAATATGACAAAAAAAATCTGGTACTATCACGGTCAATTAGAAGGCAACACAGTTGCTATACCGAGTAGTGATGACAAATAATTGAAGCACATCTCAATTGATGTTGCCACGTACACATCTCTCTTGAACTAAGTCAAATATAGTAGTGAATACAGGTGAATGGCCCACTTTTCTGTACCGTTCTCTATAAAAATAACTGGTCCGCCATGCAGATGCCAAAATATAATTAATATTGAATTGCTTGGTATGTACATAAAACCGATGGTCGGCACAGTATCAAATAAAAACATGCGCGTGCTAAGAAATGCAACAGCGAAGTAGTCATGACTATTGTGATCAGATACGCTGTAGCACATCTGAAAGCGCTTGAAATGCATAAGACG